CTGCATAGTATTCCATTGTATGAATATACTACAGCTTCTCTATCCATTCCTTTGCTGATTGGCACTGTGTTCCATACCTTTCTATATTTATTTTTAGCACCTAGCACTCAATGTCTGATAAATAGCATAATAAATTTTTAATTAATATTTTAGATAGCAATGATCGATTTATCTCCCCAGCTACTTCCTTCATGTTAATCTCGTATGGCCAGTCTGTGCTGTACTCTTCTAAGGTTAGTAATAGGTAACTGAAAGACCCTTTTGCTTCACTGCATTCTGTTTAGTCTCAGCTTTCCATCCAAGTAGACATTGGCAGTTTCCCTGACTCTGAACAGCATCCTATCTGCCTCATCAAACCCCTTAGGTGTTTACCTTTGAGAAAAGTCTATTTGCATTCAGTAATCTCACCAGATGCTGACAAGTTATGGAACACATTCCGTCACTGATCTCTTAGGAAGAGATTTCACTCTTAACAGCCATGTTTAATAATCAGTTTCTTGTTTTATACAACTGGCCTTAACTTAATCTCCTGTCTTTCAAAAAGTTTTAACAGTTTTTATTGCGCTTTTATAAAACCTAGCCAAAGCAACTCCTTGCTGCTGAATTTTGAAAGGTCCCGATTCTGTCTTGCCTAATGGTGTTATTTGTTGCTACAATGAAATTGGCCAGCCGTGTTAATGACCACATCCAACTATCAGCTGAAGGTTACTGCCAAATTACATCATTATCTAAGCCAAAGAAATAGTACAACAAAGAAAAATGCCAAATGGGACATTTTCTGTCAGATAAATATGTTATCCAGTGGAAGAAATGAGCTAGCCAGAGCAACGTTATTCCAGAATACAGCAGTTGTCAGTAGAGCTTTCCATTTAGGTACTGGTTGTGAATTTTCAGCTCTGTTCTGTAAACTGGCACCATTGATGAGAGGACTTGATCCCAAAATACTATTTCTCCATTGTGTCTATTAATACAGTTAACGTACTCAGCTATTTTAACCAAAAGTTGAAGGTTTGAGTCCACCGAGAGATGCCTCAGAAAAAAAGGCCTAGAGATCAAAAATATCAACCATTGAAAACTCTCTGAAAAGTAATTCCCTTCTACCACACATTGAGTTACTGTGAGTTGGAATCAACTCCATGGCAACTAGTTTATATTGTCTCTTAGCACTTTTTTTATGAAAATAATGTATTTGATATACCCCTCTTCTTCCCAGGGTATTAAAATGGAGATTTGTTGCAACTCTAAAGCCTACTAATTACTTTTAATGAAAACAGAATATAATATTAGAAGTTTTCCAAATGCTTTGTTTCATGCACCAAAGTTAATTTGTATAAGCTCCTAATGATTGCCTGGGAAGCCCTGATGGCCTAGTGGATAAGGAGCTGCACTGCCAACCCAGAGGCACATGGCTCAAATACACCAGCTGCTCTGCGGGAAAAAGATGAGCTGTCATCTTCTCTATTGCAATTTATGGCCTTTGAAAACCCACTGGAGGGTCATCTTTGAGTCCATTCCAACTCAGTGGCATGTAACAACAACAATATCCTATTTGAAACTACTCTTGGCTCTGTGACTCATATATAGAACTAAAGTTTTTAGGTTTTTCTGAACTGTCAGAAATATGAACATGGCAAAAAAGGGGGAACAACTTGAATTTAAAGAACAAGAGACAAGAATTCTTTGTCAAGTAATTATACCTATTAACACTTATTCATGACTTGAAAAAGACTCTCACCTCAAATAGGACCAGGTTTTTTTCCCTTCTGTGAGGAACTGAACATAAAGACCAGTGATGTTGTGTTAAGAGTTTTAAATTAAAACCAAAAATACTTAAAAGATAAGCCGGTAGATAGATCTATTTTAAGAGTAAATATATCTTCTAAAATTGTCTTATTTCATAAGTCCTTTTTATCCTAGAGGAAGGAAAAGATCGCTTAAAGGCTTATCTTAATGGAAATTACAGGTAGTTTAGCATTTACATATGACTCAGTTGTGGTTAAATCTGGCCAACCCAAAGACAGAAGGCCAAAATTTGCACTTAAATGGAAAAAATTACAAGTGACCATTTGATTTTAATTTTAGTTGCTTCCCTGATTAGATTCCAACATTTTCAAATCAAAATGCTACCTCACCTGCCAAATATTATCATTTTCTGATTTGTTATTTGAATCGGTATCCACAAAAAAGGAAGGACCTGCCTGCTTACGGCATCAGTTGGCCATGACAGTTTGGAAAAAGAAATCCTCTGTCCTCTTTGTTTGAAGTGAAGCATTCCTGTCATCTTCTAACACTGTTTGCCATTCTTCCTATCCCCATATAGTCTTTAAAAAAAAAAAAAACCAAACACTAAACCTATGTATTTGAAGTCCCCTGTTGTTGAATCATTTTGGTGAAAGAAATCCCCTGTCCTCTTTCTTTAAAATTAAGAACTTCTGCCATCTTCCAACAATGTTTACCATTCTTCCTACCGCTTGTATGTTCTTTTTTTAAAAAAATAGAAATAAACCTGTGTATTTGAAGATGCCTGTTGCGGTTGTTTACTGTGAGAACAGACCCATAGCTGACCCTGCAGCATGTTTTCAGAGGCAGCAAACCACACTGGACGAGATCGTCCATCCTTCTACTGCCAGGCAGCTGGTAGATTTGAACCTTTGGAATTGCAGTGCAGCAGCTTCTACTCAAGAAGTCTTCTATTCAGATGAAATAAATACATTTCATTTGATACACATTGGATGACTTCTTGTTGTTGTGTACTATAGAGTTGGAACCAACCCATAGCTGACCCTCCAGCAGGTTTTCAGAGGCAGTTAATATATGAGAGGAGATTGCCCATCCTTCTCCCATGGAGCAGCTGGTGGCCTTGAACTATGTGCCTTCAAGATTGCAGCACAGCTTTTTGCTACCAGACTAGGCCATCAGACCTCTCTAAGATGGACTTAGTGGTTTGTATATCTCCAAATCCCTCTTTATGCTATTGAATTGAATGAATATGCAATAGTAGGATCTCGTCAAAGATCATATACAGTAGACAGTGGCACAAAAAAGAAAATATTTCTTTCTTATGCTCACAATAGCCATTTTATATCTCTGGCTTCATTAGTTTATAATCAAAAGAAAGAGCCTATCATGATAATTTCTCTTATCCTTAAGACTGTATTACCTTTATGAGTTATGATCGCCATATAAAAATGGTTGCAAATAAACCAGAAACTTCTATCTCAGCTTATGAAGAATAAAGAATGGAAGCTGACACAAGGGCCACAGTAGTGTAATTGCTGACACTGTTCTTTACATGTTGGGGCCTGGGATGGAAGTTGACTCTATCTCTACACAGCCCTCCTCTCTAGATCTCATCCATGTATAGACGAGTAAAAAGTATGTAGCTGGGAAGAGAGGCAGACTAAAAGCAGAGAAGCAAGTCTGAGTAGGAAAAATAAAACCAAATGAGTATCAAAGATGTTATTTCTGTACATGTATCATTACAATATCACCACCTATTGTGAGCCCACTTAAATATTTTTCTTCATTATTTTTCCTTAAAAATTTCTTTTGCCCAGAGGCACACAGTTCAAATCCACCAGGTGCTCTGCTGGAGAAGGAGGGGCAGTCTCCTCCTGTACCAGTCAGATCTGATTTGATGGTACACACAAAAAATAATAAAAATAAAACTAAAAAATATTTGAAAATTTCTTTTGCGAAGAAAGCAATTAAAATCATTCTTCTTGGAGATAAAGTAGAAATAGCATTAAGCAAGCATAGATGTACTGCTATGCTTGGCACTTAAAAAATTCAAAGAAGAGGACGTAAGTCGAGTCCCACCAGGAACACTTGAATCAACCATGCCAGGCTTACATGTGAAGCAATAGGCTAGTTTATTTTCACCTGGGTGCAGGTGGGCTGAATTCTCAAAATAGAAGTCAGCAGTTTTTGCTGTTGTTAGTGGACACTTTAAATACAGAGCTTATTGGTGGGTTCAGCAGATCACATGAGGAAGTCTTGATTGTATAGTATTCTGTTGCCATGTTTTTCTTATCTTGGAGGTAATAGTCTCAGGTCAGTTTCCTGTGGTATTCCTGGAATGTCCTATTTTTGCCAGTTCAGCTTTCTGCTAGTAGTTGAGCAGGCTGGATCTAGGGGGAGGGTTTCAAAATTGCAACAACAGTGAGGCCGCTTTATTTTACCTAGCTTTCATGTGTTGTAATGATGTATGAGTGAGGGAAGGTGGGCATTGTTTCTCTCAGACTTCTTTAAGCATGACCTGGAGCAATATGGGCAAACCTTTGGAAGAGAAGAATGGTATAGATATTTATGCAGTTTCAGGAATTAGTTGGTATGGTTTGTTTATAAGAGATGTTGGCCAACTAGAGAGTTGGTGAGGGCATTGGCTATATTCTGTTTCAAGTGGAATGCTAGCAGAAGTAGACAAGGACCAAATACAAGTCCTAAAAGGATCATATTAAAGTAGACCTAAGAGGAGCAAGAAGATCCAAGATGAGAGGGGGCTGCAGTTTTCTAGGTTTGGGAATGCTAATTTATACCTATTTGAGTATATTAACTTCATCAACAACTACGCCACATTGGTTTACATAACTACTGCAGTAGAAAATAGGCAGGTTCCTCCTTTCTTAACTGTGAAAAAGTCTATGACCCAGCGGGTTTGGAAGCACCATCAAGGCAAGTGAATTTAGCAGAGTCTACAGAGTTAATTAGGGTATCAGCTACCTGATCTATATCACTATTCAGTTCTTAGTTTATGATAAAAGTGAACAGAGGAACTGTTAACTGCCTATTCCGGCCCCTACACTAGCCACTCTGCCAATCCCTATTAGGAAGGGCACTCTGACTGCTCATTTTTTTCTTTTGGTTTTGAGTTTCAGGAAATATGGCCCGATCTATGTCTGAGTTGGTAAAGACTCCAATGTTCGGGATTATGAAAGCTCAGCACTGAGATTGAAAAGGCCAAAACCCATCTATCATCAGTCTGTGTTCTTTGTCCTTAGCCCTGACAGCTGCAGCCGGAAGGGGCAAACTGGAGGTGTGCCGCCTGCTCTTAGAACAAGGAGCAGCTGTGGCTCAACCAAACCGCCGAGGGGCAGTGCCCCTATTCAGTACCGTTCGTCAGGGCCACTGGCAGGTGAGCAGAAAAGCTATGTGTGGTCTCCAGGACAGAAGGGAATTCTGAAAGGTGCATGCAAAGGGGAGAGAAAAATCATGAAGTCAGAGTTAATTGTAAACTTTCAGTATTCACTGAGTTTGAAGATCTAGAGCTTTGCTATTTCAGTCTAGTTAATTGAGAATATAGCAGAAAATTAATATTCAAAGTCATCATTATCAGTGATATTGTACAGAAGAACTTGCTGCTTCTTGGTTATGGAGTAACTTCCTTCTCACATTGACCATAATCATTGGTTCCCTGGAAGTTTCATTTCTCAACAAACACTTTTTAATAGTGTGCTATTACATGTCTCAGACTTAATAAAAACAAAAATTCAACGCATACAAATTAGGGTTCTCTACTCTCTAAAGAGTTTTCAGATTGACTTTTTATTTTCTGTTTAAATATTCAGTGGAGACATGTATACATCTCTATAAGTAAATAAATGGCATTGACATAGGGAGTGACTTGTGTTAGAGCTTCCATTATGGAATTATTTAGTCTATATCTGGGCTACTGTTATCTTAAATTTTCTACTTAGTAGATTAAATCTTTTTCGTTTGGCTGTCCTTGAGATAGGAAAATCCCTGGTGACACAGCCCTTGATTACTAAGGAAAAGGTTAGCAATTTGAACTCCCCAGTCATTCGGGAGAGAAATGTGGCATTGTACTTCCATAATTATGTACAGCTTAGGAACCTGTTCAGGAGAATTCTGTATTCTCTAAGGTCACCATGAGTCAGAATTAACAGCAAATGATTAAGGTTTGAGAGTCAGAGATTAAATCAGATGCTACTAGGACCCTGCAGATACTCATGGGGTTCTTGAATTGGGAAACTCCACATAGAGATGGCTCTTGTGGACAGTAGACTTCCATGCCATTTGAAGAACAGCATGCATATGTCTTCTCAGCAGCCCTTCTTGGACTGAGTGGTTTCTGTCTCTCTACACTTACAGATTGTTGATCTTTTACTCACTCATGGAGCTGATGTCAACATGGCAGACAAACAGGGTCGGACTCCCTTGATGATGGCTGCTTCTGAAGGCCACCTAGGAACTGTGGACTTTCTGTTAGCACAAGGTCAGTCCCAGGATGCCAGAAATGGGTGGTCAGTACCCACTGAATACATGAGTTCGTGTGATAAATTTGAGGAGATATTAAAACCATTAATTCAGTGATTAGAAAATGGGAAAACTCTGTCCACTTATACATATGTTAACTCTTCAAACTTTGATACTTCATTCTCTACTTTATTACGTTATTCTCATAAAATTAACATATTCCAAAGTCTTTAGTTCAAATCAATAATCTCCAAACTGGGTGTTTTTTAAGTGTAACATTCAGTAATTATTCATCTGTCAGGGATTGCCTTTTGGCTTTGACTTTTTGACTCAATTCTTTAGTAAGCCTGCACAGCTAATATTTTTCTTGCATCCAAAGGCAGCAAATGAGGCCTAAGATAATTGTTGATAGTAGGAACCTCTTTGAGGTATGGATCAGGATATGATTATTCTGCTATTAAATAATAGTAGATTTCTTTTTACATTTATGAGTGTCCACAAGTTCGTGGACAGTGGGAAGTAACTTAAGGGAGGTTGTGATAACACCACTAGCATAAAATATTTCAGGCTCCTATTCGTCCTGTAGGGATTCTGGTGGCCTAGTGGTAAGGAACTGCACTGCCAACCCACAGGCACAGGGTTCAAATTCACCAGATGCTATAGGGGAGAAAGAAACTCCCATCCCATGTGATTTTCTATCTCTGAAAACCCACTGGAGAGGCAGCTATGAATCGATTCTAACTCGATGGAGCTCTGGTGGCATATTCCACAGGGAGTTGCACTAGCAGTTCAAATCCACCAGTAACTTCTCAGGGAAAAGGATGGACAGTTTCTTCCCATGAGATTTACAGCTTCCTGATAACCACTGTGAGCCAGTTCCTATTCGATAGCAGTGAGTGAGTTAAGATTGATTATAATTTCCATCACTTTTACAAAATAGATAGGAATAGACCCCTGTACTAGAATGTAATGAGTGAATTTGAATTACTACAGAAGCATACTCTTTGGGTTAGCAGCACACTCCCTTTTGACTGTGTCATCAGAGCTAAACACTGCTGAAAACTTAAATAAACAGTAAGGCATTCCATGTTCATGGATTGGAAGGCCCAGTGTTATTAACATGCTAATCCTTTCTGTGATGGATTAAATAATGCACCAAAAAAATTATGCGTATGTAATGATATAATGTGGAAACCATGTAATCATCCCTCATGATCTAATAATAAACCAAATAGTTATAAGTGGATTAAGGTTGGAATGCAATATCCCTTAATCATATACAACCTTGATTTGATGTACAAGCCGTTACAGCAGGCTGATCTAATACTATTTTTCATCATGGATTGAATTGTGTCCTCCCAAAAGTGCATGTATATTGTGATATAATATGGAAGCTTTGTCATTATCCCACATGGTCTGATGAACCAGATCTTTGTAGGAATCTTTAATGGAATGCAGATCAAGGGTAGAATGCAGCACTCCCTGATCACATTTACAAGCCTAATGAAATGTAAAGGGAGTTCTGCTAGGGCATGGCCTTTAATATCTGTTCTCTCAAGATAAAAAGGGAGGAAAGCAAGCTGAAAAGTGGGAATTAGGAGGGAACTTTTTAGTACCACCTTAAAATAACTGCCAGGAGTGGAGCATGTTTTTCTGGACCTATGTCCCTCCACAACAAAACTCCTTGACACCATGTAAGGCCAGAACATATCTCCAGGGAACTGACTGCATTGGTTTGAAACTTCATTTGGATTAGTGGAGACATACCATTCTGAGCCCCACTAAACACTGCTAAACTGTCTGCAGTCCTAGCTTCTGGTCACGATAACACTGATGCAGTAATTGGTCTTTATGCAACCCTGGATCCAGATCAGAGCAGGGATGCAGGCAAGCTTGACGCAGGCAAACATTTTAAACTTAGAGGAGGCGCTGCTGGAGGACTCGGGTGGCAAGTGGCATGGGCTCCTTTCCTTCTTCCTCTCTTCACCACCACAGTAACTGCAGCAGAAATAACATAGGTTGTTGATGAGTCTCCTAACCCTGATGCCACATTCCTTCTCATAGAGTCTGGCCTCCCTGTATGTTTGTTCTGCATATGGATTGAAAATGTACAAAAATAAGATGCATCCCTGATGCACACCTTTCTTGATCCTGAACCATGTAGTATTTCCCTGCTGTGTTTTGACTACTGCTTCCTGGTCTAATTATAGGTTTCTCATGAGCACAATTAAGTGTTCTAGGATCCACACTCCTCAAGGCTAGCCACAAAATGTTGTGATCCACATAGTGAAATGCCTTTGCATTGTCAATGAAACACATATAGACATTTCCTCTGGTACTCTCAATATTCGGCCAAGATCCATCTAAATTGGCTATGATGTCCCTAGTACCACGGCCTCTTCTAAACCCAGCCTGCACATCTGGCAGTTCTGTGCTGATGTACTTACTATTCCTATAATTTTTGGATAATCTTCAGCAGGATCTTGCTTCCATGTTATATTAGTGACATTGTTCGAGAATTTCCACACTCTTGTCAGGCCACCATTTTTTGGAATGGAAACAAATAAATTGATTTCTTCCAGTCAGTTGGCCAGGTAGTTGTTTTCCAGCTTTCTTGGCATAACCTAGTGAGCATGTCCAGAGCAGCATCTGTTTGCTGAAATATGTCATTTGCTATTCCAGAGCAGATTGAACTGCCTCATATGTTGTTTCATGAAATACTTCTGTGTTAGCCAATTCTTTTTGTTATAATGACTGTATACTCCCTAAATCTTCTTTTGATGCTTCCTGGGTCATTCAGCATTCTGCCCTCAATAATAATATTTGGTGACTGGAATGCAAAAGTTATAATTTAAAAAAAAATGGTAGTTAGAGAGGGTGACTTGATGACAACAAGGAGGCTGGCGAGCACAGGATAGGATTTTTTTACAATCAATTAAAAAAAAACACAAACAGGGAACATGTCTCCTGCCGCAGGAAGATGAGGCAGCGGTGGCGGCCGCCGCGGGTGTAGCGGACCGGACCCGAGGCGGCGGCGGGCACCGCGGACCCCGCACAAGCCGCTCTGTACGCCGCCGGCCACCCGCCCCTGGGCCCCGCGCGGGAGGGAGGAGCCGAACCTCCACCCACGCGCGCCCCTTTGTCCGGGGTGGGGGTGGGGGCCTCCATGCCGCCGCGCGCCCGGCCTCCCCGCGCAGGGCTCCCTGTAGACTCCAGGTGCCTGCTGTTGGAGAATGAACCAGCCGCCGAGGATATGGCTCCAGTGGAGCTCAGTGACCTCCTGGACTTCAGCATGATGTTCCCGCTGCCCGTGGCCAACGGGAAGGGCCGGCCCGCGCCCCTGGTTGGCGCCCCCTTCACAGGCTCAGGTCTTGACAAACGGCCCAGCTCGGGCTCCTGGGGCGCCGGGGACCAGAACAGTTCCTCCCTTGACCCCAGCCAGCCCTATGGGGAGGGCCCCCACTCCCACGAGTGAGTCTCGTGGCACCCTGTCTTCATCCCCGTTCCTGGGACCTGGCCTCACAGGCAAAGGCAGTGAGCGGGCCCCATATGCCTCTTTCGGGAGAGAAGCTGGCATTGGTGGTGTGAATCAGGTTGGCTTCCTGCCGGGCCAGCTGGCCCTCAGCAGCCCTGGGCCGCTATCCCCCTCATGTGTCAAAGGCAGTGCCCAGTATTACCCTCCATATCCCAGCAATCCCCGGCGGAGACCCGCGGACGGCAGCAGCTGGACTCCCAGTCCAAGAAGGTCCGGAAGGTGCCGCCGGGGCTCCCGTCATCGGTGTACCCACCCAGCTCAGGGGATGACTACAGAGAGGCCCGGCCGATCCCGCCGGCAGGACTCCTGGCAGCTACCCCACGCCCTTCTACATGGCTGATGGCAGCCTGCACCCTTCGGCTGAGCTCTGGGGCCCCCAAGGCCAGGCAGGTTTTGGGCCCATGCTGAGTGGGGCTCCTCCCTGCTGCCCCTCCCTCCTGGGGGCAGCTCTGCAGGCAGCAGCGTCCTCAGCGGCCTTCACCAGCATGAGCGCATGGGCTACTCGCTACATGGAGCCGAGGTGAACAGCGGGCTGCCTGCTGTGTCCAACTTCTCGTCAGCACCTGGAGCTGCCTACAGCAGCGTCCCCAGCCATACCCCGCCAGTCAGTGGAGCGGACAGCCTTCTGGGCTCCCGAGGGACCACGGCCGGCAGCTCTGAGGACGCCCTCGAAAAGGCCCTGGCCTCGATCTATTCCCCGGACCATTCCAGCAGCAACTTCTCGTCCAGCCTCTCGACCCCCGTGGGCTCCCCCCAGGGACTGGCAGGGAGTTCTCAGTGGCCCAGAGCAGGAGCCCCCGGTGCCTTATCACCCAGCTATGATGGGGGCCTTCACAGCCTGAACAAGCTGGAGGACTACTTGGACGAGGCCATCCATGTGCTACGCAGCCACTCTGTGGGCACAGCCAGCGACATCCACATGCTGCCCGGCCCTGGCGCCCTGGCCTCAGGCTTTGCCAACCCCACCATGTCGCTGGGTGGCCGACATGGTGGCCTGACAGGAGGCGGCCACACAGAAGACGGGGTGTCGGGCGGCGCCAGACTGCTGCACAACCACATATCCCTGCCCAGCCAGCCCAGCGCACTCCCTGACCTCTCTCGGCCTTCGACACCTACAGCAGCCTCAGGCGGCCCCGCACAGCGACCAGTGAGATCAAGCGGGAGGAGAAGGAGGACGAGGAGAGCCCCTCACTAGCTGACAACTCAGAGGAGGAGAAGAAGGAGCTGAAGCCCCCGCGGACGCGGACCAGTGCGGAGGAAGTGCTGTCCCTGGAGGAGAAAGACCTAAGGGACCGGGAGAGGCACATGGCCAATAACGCGCGGGTGCGCGTGCGGGACATTAACGAGGCCTTCCAGGAGCTGGGTCCCATGTGGCAGCTGCACCTCAAGTCGGACAAAGCACAGACCAAGCTGCTCATCCTGCAGCAGGCGGTGCAGGTCATCCTGGGCCTGGAGCAGCAGGTGCGAGAACTCAACTTGAACCCCAAAGCAGCCTGCCTGAAGAGGAGAAAGTGTCTGCTGTGGTCGGAGACCCCCAGATGGTGCTGGGAGAGGCTCACAACCCCACTGGGCACATGTGAAGTCCCACCTGGACGCCCCCATGAGACCTGATGACCCCAAACATCTCAGCCCAGCCCGGCCTCCAGCTTGGAGCCTGAAAGGAGCGTTTTATTTTGGGGAAAATGAAAGAGAAAAAAGTGGCCCTTCAGCCAGAACTGCTCGCTCTGTCCGAGAGGAAGCTGCCTTAAGCCCCAGGTGCCTGCCTGCCCAGGTGCCTGCCTGCCTGGCGACACAGTGCAGGCCCAGCCAGGCCTGGCCGGAGAGAGCCACCAGCAAATTGTGCCTACACGGAATTTTTTTTTAAGGAAATGAAAAGAACATTAGTTAGGAGATTCCTTCCCCAGCTGTAGAGGAAGATAGCAAAGATGTTGCCTTTGATCCTTTTTTAATTTTTTTTTGCATATGTTTTGTAAGCAACAAATGTTTTTCTATTAAAAAAAACAAAACACAAACAGCAACTATATTTATGGACCTTACCTACAGGGCTATGCAGGTATCAGATTGGCTACATTGGTAGATGAATTGATGAAGCAAATATGAGCAGTCAAAACCAGACTAGAAGCTGACTAATTATCAATTACTAATCATCAATTACTAATGATGACTAATCATCACTTACTCATGACAAGTTCAAATAGAAGGTGAAGAAAATTAAAACAAGTCCACAAGAATCAAAATACAACCTTGAGTCTGTCTCAACTGAATTTAAAAACTGTCTCAAGAATAAATTTGATGCATTGAAAACTAACAGATGATGGCCAGAGGAGTTGTGGGATGACATCACATATTATTGAATGTCAGTCTGTCTTGTTGTTCCAAGTCTTTTATGAACGTCTAATAAACCTCAAATTTCTCTTGGGAAAAAAAAATCATTGAAGAAGAAAGCCAAAGGTCATTATAAAAACAGAAAGGAGAGACCAAAATTAATATCAGAAGACATTCTGAAACCTGCAGCAAAGTGGAGAGGTCAAAATAAAGGAAAGGAAATGCTGAAGCAAGAGATGTGAAATGAAGATTCCAAAGGGCAGCTCAAGAAGACAAAGCGATGAGATATATAAAATAGACAAATGCATAGAGACCAAATTTGTTGGTGGTTACCAGGAGCTAGTGGAAACAGAGAGGGGAAATCCTTGCCTAAAATGATAATTCTGTTAAGAATGATGATTAAAAAAAATAATAATACTGGAAACAAATAGTGGTGATGGTTGCATAAAATGATAGATGTTATCATTGTCACTGAATTTTACCCATAAAAGTAAAATTTAAAATTTAAATATTGTTAAATACTTGCCCATAAATTAAATATTGTTATGTTTTATCACACTAAAAAAAGTTAAGTAATTTAAAACATTTCGGTAAATACTTGCTGTGTACAATTACAGAGAAAATAAAATTTACCCAGGAATAGTATGACTAGTAGAATTTGATGAAAGGAATTATAAAGGGTCAGGAAATTGGTTAAGAAGCCTTAGTAGCAGAACTGGTGAGAGGTCATGAGGTATTGCTACAAGGGCAGTAGTTACCAGAATAGAACAAAAAAGAGTCAAATGTAAGAAATATTTTGTATATAAAGACTGATTTATGTAGAAAATTAAGAGAAATGTCAACTTCTGAGATAGATGTTTAGCAGAACTACATGGGAAAGAGAAGAGAGAAGACAAAGATTAAAAATATAAATTTAAAAATTTTTTTTTTGCTTATGGCCATCACACTGCATCATTTTTTAACATCAAAAGTGGGGGTTTTTTTAAATTTTTGTTGCATGTTTACAAATTCTTGATGTGTTCAAAATACTCTGAGTTTATTACATATGTATCTTTTAATTTCTTAAATACATGTTTTCCTTATGTTTAGAGAATTTTTATTTGTTGTATATAAATCTACAATTTTATCCTCTTTTTCTCCCACTTGAGACTTTATCCAGGGAATTTATAGATGTGTCAAATCTGAGAAAGCTCCTTACAGTCTGATTCATGTTCAGAATCATCCCAAATTTTAATTGCCAACAAGACAATAATGAAAATATAGCCCAGTATGTAAGTAGCATGTTGTCCTTCTCCAAGGACCTGTCCCTCCTAGCCACATGCCCAAAGGCCAGGAGAGACCGGTCCTTGGAGAAGGACATCATACTCGAAAGGGTGGAGGGACATTGCAGGAGAGGAAGACCCCAGATAAGATGGATTGCTGTAGTAACCGGGGTAATGGGATAGGTACAGTGAAGGCTTCAAAGCTGCTATACACAGGGTCACTGTGAATTGCAGGCGACTCAACGGCACATAACAACAACAACAACATATAAGTAGCTCTCTTCAGAGTTTAAGTCATGGGATCTCCTAGCTCTTGTACCATCCTATGGAAAGCCACTGGTTATCTGACCTCTGTGAATACAGATGCATTAGGGCCACATAACTACTAGGCAGAACTTAAACTTGGTTGTGGCATCTCCTAAGCTTAACCTGACACCTGAAACCTCTCCAGCTAAAGAGGAAGCCTGGAAAGTGCCCCATATGAAAGGAATTGTTCTCTGGTTAGTACTTATGATGTGGCAATTATATAAACAGAATTGTTTTATGTATTCTTCAAAACTAGGAAGAAAATTATAATTTCCTTGCCACTTCAGAGCTTACAGTCTAAGAACCAAATGTATATAGGATCTTAGAATAAATGTAAGAGAACTTATCAAGTATGTTTGATCCTTACAGATGAAAAAGAAGTACTGAAGGGAAACACATATAGACAATAATAGGTGTGACAAAAAGCAGAAATGGGCTTTTTGAAGAACACTGACTAACTTAAGTGAACGCTGAATTTCCTTTATGGCCTGAGCCCTGTCTTCTGTGAATTCATTATGTCCTCTTTCTAGAAAAGAGAAAGCAGCTGATTGTAATATGAATTATAACTCTTGTTTCATAATACTTATTTCAGAAAGTTAACACTATTATAAATGAAAGACTTCAGACAGTTCAGAAAACACTCACTGATATTTTATTACACACAAGTGGTAAACATGAAGAAGCATTCTAAAATAAGGTGACATATGTCAAAACCAAACTCACTGATGTTCAGCTAATTCTGACTCATGTGAGCCTTCCTCAGGTCTCCGAGGCTGTAAGTCGTAATGAAAGGAGACTGCCTTTCTTCACAGAACTTCTCTTACATTATAACCACCAGAGATTTGCAGTCTTTTGATTAGCAGTGCAGCAAAAGGGATAACACCAGACCTCCTTAGTTATGACAGGTGGATTCAAAATGAAACTTCTTAAAGTCAGTAGACTTGGGATAGTGGCTAGGAAATGAGTAGAAGTAAGGCAAGTCATGAAGAAAAAAAAAGTATTTCACACGTGAAAGCAACATAACCAAAAGGGAGAGCACAGAATATTTATTATAGATTCTGGAGGCAGTGAGCACATCCCTCTAGCCAAAGTAGCAAATTTTCGCATGGCTGTAATAAAACTTAAAGACAGAGAGTAAATCTGATGGAGAGTCTTGAATAACCAGTAAAATATGGGGCTCTGTCTTTGGCTGCTTAAAGGATCAGTCCTTCCCTCCCAGCCCCAGCCCCTTACAGACTTATTGAGATATAATTCACATAACAGGATCAATCTCAAAAATGGTAATGTTTTTGTTATGTGCCGTCAAGTCGCTTGTGACTCATAGCAACCCTGTGTATCGTAGCTCTGAAGTCAGCCCTGTCCTGAGCCAGTCTGACTCCAACACACCTACCCCCATCGCCCTAGTTACTCTATCAATCCATCTCTTCTGGGATCTTCCTCTCCTGCGCTGTCCCTCCACCCTTCTGAGCATGATGTCCTTCTCCAGGGATCGGTCCCACCTGGCCACATGCCCAAAGTGTGTAAGATGGAGCTTCAAAATCCTAGCTTCCAAAAAAAATTAAAAAAAAAAAAATCCTAGCTTCCAAGGAGAAACTTGGTTTCACCCTCTTCAAGACAGACCTATTTGTTTTCTTGGCGGTCCATGGTATGTTCAGAACTCTTCTCCAGCACCACAACTCGGAGGCATCAATTCTTCTATCATCTTTAGTCATTATCCAGGTCTCTGATACATAGCTGTAATTGAGATGACCATCAGAAAAAGACAATCTTCAGCAGTGTCTGTACCTTAAGTACTAATTTTCCTTCCTGCTATGAATTTTCCTGTTTCCTCAGTTGTATATTCTTTGCTCTTGTAGGTGCCTCCATTGCTTTAATGGACAAAGAAGGACTTACAGCCCTTAGCTGGGCTTGTTTGAAGGGTCATCTCTCAGTAGTACGCTCTCTTGTGGATAATGGAGCTGCCACAGACCATGCTGACAAAAATGGCCGCACCCCACTGGATCTGGCAGCTTTCTATGGTGATGCAGAAGTGGTGAGTGCCTTTAAACAAACCTCAAAATTTTACGGATAGAGGAAGTTGCTCCTTCACAGTATTATCTGGGGTTGGGGTTAGACTGATGCTTCACTAAACCCTAAGAGAAAGTCTCTGAGTCTGTACTTCCTAAGGGGGCACAGACATTCAGGCCACCAGTATGAAAGACCAAGAGTATTGCCTTTAACCTGAAATACTGTGGCTACACAGCCTCATTCAGACCAGCGGTTGAGTAAAGAAAGAGCAGGCAGCAGCCAGAGCCCTTGGTGGAACCATAGTACCTATGTTAATTGTTCTGCTTGATCTGTGTCCTAGGTCCAGTTCCTGGTGGATCATGGGGCCATGATTGAGCATGTTGACTACAGCGGAATGCGCCCTCTGGATAGGGCAGTGGGGTGCCGGAACACTTCTGTTGTTGTCACCCTTCTGAAGAAAGGAGCCAAGATAGGTAGGAGAATGGAAGAAGACGTTGGCCATCTGTGCCCAGGGGCCAGACTGGTCCAGTGGCCTGGTTACCCTGGGTGTTTGGTGTAGTGTATATAGTTTCCCACTGCCCTGGCCCAGTTACCGTCCAAATGAACAGAAAGGCTCTAGGCCTAAAGGAAGCACCGTCTGAGCCATGATTTACGGCACCCTGTGTCCAGAGTCACATGGCTAACTGCCATGGCCCGAGGAGTCTTAGAGAGGAGGCTGCACAACTCCGTGCTAAAGCCTCTGTCCCAGCCCCGCCCTGTAAGCATCCTGGATCCCTGCACTGCCTTAGCCTTTGCATTCCCTTGCTCTGTATGTGCTTCAGACTCTGAAGTCCCTGCTGCTGCTATCCCAGCTGCTCCCCAATCCCAGAGACCCGTAGACAAGGGTTGGCTGATATGCTGGCTTTTTTGCTGCCTGCCTCTCACTGCTGCTTTTTCCTTCTTTTTTTTTCACCTTCATCCATTTTTCCCCCCTCTCCTACAACTTTTTGTTTTCTCCTTTCTTTGAAGGTTGTCAGACGTTACCGAGTCGCCCACGAGGTATATTTCACCGCTGTCAGCATCAGGCGTGGTCTGATGGCTTGGTCAGCTTTGCCTTCTCCTCTTTGATTTAGCCTGCATGAGTTCCCTACACCTCTAATCTTTTCATTTACTTCACCTTAAAAGAAGACTTTTTTTAATGACTGTTGTAGAGAATAACTTGAACTTTTACAACTAACCCTGAAAAAGCTGAGTTTGTAACTAATTCAGGCATCTAGACACTAATCAATATAACTTTTTCTTTCCCTTGGTGGGTAAAGTAGCCCTCAATAATGTTGACTTGTTTCACTTTTCATGTCTCTGACATTCGAACTGTGCTCCTGGTTCAAAATGAATCCTAGGGAGTGCTAAGTTAAGGGAGCCTTTAGCCTTTAGTGGCTAAAGCCCATCTACAAGGTACATCCTTCAAAATTAATATGCTAAAGGGGGGAGGGAAAAGGCATGTGGGTGAATCCAAGATTCTAAAATTACCTTTTTTGGATTTTTTTTTAATACTTGATGTCATTTAATGTAAACCACTTTTCCCAATTTTCTTACTTAAAATAGCTCCAAATCAAGCCATAGCCTGCCCAAATGTAGCACACAGGCTTTGCTGCCCTCCTGTGGTGCAAGATCAGACTGTTCAGATATTCTTATTTTAAGGTGAATACAAATCTAATGCAGCTTCTTGGCAGTGGGAGTCACTTAGATACTCCCAGGTTTAAAAGATGAAGAAGAAGTTATTGTGGAGCAAGTTGTTCTCTCAGCAGAAATTCCCCCAGGCTGTTTTTTTTCACCTAGCTTCCTACCACCCTTACATTGTATGAGTTTTTTACCCATCATGCATCCTGTACACTACAGGTCCAGCCACATGGGCGATGGCTACCTCCAAACCAGACATCATGATCATCCTGTTGAGCAAGCTGATGGAAGAGGGGGACATGTTTTATAAGGTGAGGGGAGACAGGAGCAACTGTTCCTCAAAACGGCCACTGGCTGTACTTAGATCCAGACAGTTTGCATCTCTCAGTGTATAATGGGTACATATGCTGGGAATCTTGGAATTTAAGAGAACAAGCATACCCTACACATGCCTGCAGCTGAGAAATCTAAGGACCTAATTTCAAATGGTCATTAATAGGCATTGTTGACATAGATTTTATATAGAATCTGCTAACTGAGATCTGAAAACTCATGGGACAAATAAAAGTAATGTCATACAGATATTTTCCATTTATCAGAACGAGCTCTTGATCCTGCTTTTAATATATACATAAATTCAAAAGTTGATTTATAGTAATAATAATTTATTGGCATCCCTGTATAAGGTAATGGAAGCAAATAGAAATTTTAAGATTTGCCTGAGGTCCACTCACTAAATGAGAACAACCCACGTGCAAAAAAAATGTTTGGAGTCTTTTTGTACTCACAGTTCAAACTGAAGACTCCATTCCATAATACAAACTCAGGGGCTATAGAAAGTATATTTGGGATTCACTAAGTAAGAGAAAACAGTACATAGGGGCACAGGGCCATGAACATCTCTCTGAAAGGGCCAGAAAGGAGTAAGAATAGCACAGCCCCTCACCGCCTGAGAGAAGAAACAGATAAAGAGCCCCGTGGTGCCTGTAGAGCCCCACCAGCAGCAAGAAGGTCGTTTATTTGTTGTTGACTCACAATTGTGGTACTGAGAATGGAGTTTATTAGTGAAAGAAATTAGAAATTGGGGGAGGCAAAAAATATGTCCTACTACAAGTCTAGGTTTTAGCCCAAGTTCCATGGCACAATACCTCAGTTAGTCTAGGCTGTGGTTTCAGTTCATCAGTCAAATCCAAATCATTCAGCAAGGTTTGCCTCAGAGCAGTTATAAGTAAGCTTCTCCTTCAAACATCCATCAAGAACAGACAAACCTTTAACTGTGGCCAGCACAAATGCAAGAAACCTCAGGTCACACTTTGCCACAGTTTCTCCATAGCAGTTCCACAGTCTGTTCACCACCAGGGTCTCACTCTTGTCAGGGTCTTGCCAATACAAGCCTTGCTAACCTCAAGTCATGCTGCTCAGTGGAGAAAGCACTCTTTCTCTTATCCTAGTCTCACAGCTTTTGATGATTTGCAAGACCATGTGTCTGCAGTTAAGACAGTTGGAGACCAGAGGGGGCTAACTGTAATGGTGAAAAAAAGACAAGTTTTAGGCTAACACCACAAGGATTCTCCCTGTCATACTAATCTGTTTAGTCAAAACCAACTTATAGCTGACCCTCCATTGGGTTTCCAAGGCTGTGAATCACATGAAGGATTGTCCATCTTACTCGTGCAGAGCTGTTGGTGGATTCAGACCACTAGAGAGGCTCAGCCTTTGGGTTGGCAGTACAACTCCTTACAGACTAGGCCAAGAGAGCTCCCTCCCTGTAAAAATCTTTTTGTGATCTTAAGATTAAATGGAGCTCCTAAAGGTGAATACAAATCCAAACCAGCATCTTATCCCCAGACCTAAAAGATGAAGACATTATTATTAAGCATATTGCTTCCCTGTGTTACAGGAATGTACAAAATTCCTAAGGCCAGGGTTCTATTTCCCAACTATGCTTTGAGAGATACAGAAATTTGGGGCTCTTAGTCTTTCAGGAAGCTCGAGCTTGACCCAGCTACTTGTCCCACAGGACATCAAAGAAGAACTTCATCACTCTAGTTGCCAGTGCTGTTCTGGATTTCAGAATGGCTTTGCTTTCAATAATCTAAGCCCTGGTTATTAACATAATTGCTATTATAAGACAGAGAGTTCTATCTCCTAATGAAAATAGAAGACTGTTCCTACCAAGAATTCTACTTTGGAAGACTCCGAATCTCTCTCTAGTGAAAAAAGTGCTGAGGGAAAATTAAAAGACCAGAATCCTAATGGAATTACAGCAATTCAAATTTAATCAAACATACAGATCAGCTAAAGGAATAGGGCCGGGAGCTCTGGCAGCATAGTTCATAGAGAATTGTGCACAAACCCAAAGGCAGCACCCATCTTATGGTTCAAAACCGCCTCAGGAGAAAGATGAGCAGTCTCTTCCTGTGAGATTTCTAGCCTCAGAAACCCAGGGAAGGGTCAGCCATGAGTCAGTTCTGAGTTGATGGCAATGAGTTTGAGTTGGGTTTGTTGTTTTGTTTTGTTTTTTCGCATATGCTCTTTATTCGTCTTAGGGCCTCTGTTGATGAGCTGTGAAATCTTGAGTCAGTTACACAGCCTTGCTAAGCCTTAGCTTGTGCATATCAGGTTGCCAGTTTGGCCGTAGGTGTTGCTGCTACACATGTAGCTTGAGCAGGAGGGGCTTCCTACATTCTTTTGTTGTCTTTTCAGTCTGAATTGGGTATCTTTAAGGAGACGTTTTCTGTATATTTCTAGATGTAGGTTATAGATTTCTAGATGCAAAGACTTTAAAAAGTGCAAAGTCCCAATGGTTGTTTTCTAAATTAGTCATGATTTTCTTCCTCTTGGAAAATTCCTACTACAAAATCAAATAGAATCACAAATTCCAAACTTCACTTTCTCTACTATCTCCTCAAACTAAGCATGTTCCAAAAATGAGGGAAACTTACACTGTTTTATCACATAATATTAGAGAAGTAGCAGCTAGATGCTAGATGATTCTAGGCTCTCAGGAGCTCAGCTTTTCCCTTTTTGAGCATTAAAGGGAATAACCTTTTCTGGAGGGCTGACAAGATGTAGCACCAGAAAAGAAATTTCTCCAAATAAGCCAGAAATTAAGAAAGTCATAACATTAAAGCGCTTCGAACTAGGAAATTAGTTATGTCCCAGGGATATCAGTTCCAAAATAGTCCCTTTGAAAACAGCAAGGTCGATCCTTTTATAAACCAGTTAGGAAGCTGAGGCCCAGAGCCTCTCATTAGCCAAGACTTTGTTTTTCTGGTTTAGATCTTGGGTATCCTTTCCAGCATTACCTTTGCTGCCAAGTGAATTTCCGACAAAAAATGTTGGGCCCTTCTCTTATTGTCAGGGCCAGAGTTAATCCCTACACTGGGAGCCCTGGCAGTGCAGGGGCTGCTAACCAGAAGGTCAGTGGTTCAGATTCACTAGCCATTCCACAGGAGAAAGATGTGACAGTCTGCTTCCATAAACAGCCTTGAAAACACTAGGGAGCAGTCTTGCTCTTCCTTCTAGGGTCCTTGTGAGTCAGAATCAATGCAACAGAGCTGGTTTAGTTATTTGGTTTTTAATGCATAGTGATGACTGTTGAGGAGAGAAAGGGAGTGGGGACTGAACTTCCTCCGCTGCTCAGCAGACCAATGGCATGTGTGTGTTTTGCCATCTTGTTACCCTCTTTAGAAAGGTAAAGTAAAGGAAGCTGCCCAGCGCTACCAGTACGCTCTGAAGAAATTCCCCAGAGAAGGGTTTGGTGAGGACTTGAAAACCTTCCGGGAATTAAAGGTGTCTCTCCTCCTCAACCTCTCTCGATGTCGCAGGAAAATGAACGTAAGTCCCCTTCATCTTACCTCTGTTCTGCAGTCCTGGAAGCTGCCAGTTTACGTCACTCTCTGACTTTCACCAGGTCCCTGAAATCCTTCACAATCCTATTTGGAACTTGGTTGTCCTTCACAGAGCACTGACATTTGCAATTTTAAAGAAATCAAGTCTAAGTACAGTCTAATTTAAAATTATTTTGAAAAGCTAATACTGGTATACTTCATAGTTTTCTGTATTTTCATAACTATCATTGAAAATTGCACCAATTCTGCAAGTCAGTTTTTTTAGGCTTTGAGAAATGTGAGAGTAACGGTCACAATTTCAGCTTCGAGTAAATAAACATTTTAATCATCCCCTTCCTTTCTAGCAAATTCCTTAGTCATTTAAGGAAGGGCTAGAAAGAAGACTTAGGATCATGGACTTCAGGGCTTGTACATCTTTCCTTATCTCTTTATTCCAGCATGCTAAGTCCCTTCTTTTCTCAAAAGGAACCTTAGAACTCTTCCCAGTCCTTTATTATCTCTCAGGTGGTTCTTTGTCCTTCATGTCTGCCTTGTAAACAGTCTCTGAAGCCCTCAGTCACTGTTTCCTTAATGTATAGACCCTGCACTCAAGATCCAGAGAACAGCCAAGATTGTCTTAGGAATCTCTGATGCCTGAAGGCTCACAGTTCCTCAGGAGATAGAAGTGATCCAAACCAAACAAAAATGTTGGTCATTAAATAACTCAGCTATACAGAAGCAAGATTTGAGCCTCAATCACAAGATAATCCATCCAAAAAAAAGGATTTGTGTATATGATCTCATCATATTATCTATTTAAAACATGGCAACAAAAAGAGCCCTGATAGACACTTGACTAGCGAAGAAGTCACTGTCTTGGCCCTAAGAGGCCAGAGTTTTCTGGGGTTCTTGAAGTAGAAAGAGAAGCTTGGGAGAAAGCAGTGTGGCTCTAATGCAGTATGGCTTCTCCTTTGGAATGGAAGAAACCATGCAAGGGTATCATGTGACACTAGTGAGAATGGGACGAGATCAGAGGCTGCCATCAGCTTGATGGCTGGTTAGCTTTTCTCCCTAACAAATAATCTACTTCTTAAAAATGCCTCCGTTATTCCCAGAATTAATGACTCCCAAAAGAAAAGGTAAGAGACTAAGAATGAGAGAGTATAGAGCTAGAAGACGATCCGTAGGAAGGTAGAATACTTTCTCTCTAACTCCACATTTATTCAAAACCAGGTGAGAATTCCTTCACATGGACCAAAATGGCACTTCACATCAGAAGTTTGGCAATATCTGCAAAAAATTGCTCATAATTTTTTTTAAAAAAAATTTTTTTTTAATTATCTATGCCCCAGGGCTTTATTCTGCCTAAGACCTTGAGTTCTGCCTTAGGAATCTAAATGAAAGCAAAGTCTACTGCGCTGTATCATAACTCTGATATTAAAAGAAAAGTTTAACTTAATATTTAAGGGCCTTTTAAAGTCATAACCTCTGCTTAGTCAGTTTGGTTTACCCAATCATTTTTCGCAGAAATTTTGAGAGTAAGAACAGAGAGCTCTGAGACTCTGTATTCTTCCAAAGAATCCTTGTAATCAAGAAACAGGCCAGACCCCATCACAATCAGGTCCTCACCTGCTCCTCTTCTTATTAAGGAACCCCGTATTTGTAGGAAAAGGCCAAAGAAACTTCTGTGAAATAGAGAGGAACTACAATTTATTGGGTATCCAGTACATACCAAAGAGCTTTATATACTTTATGTCACTTAACTTGACCTCAGTTAAGTGAAATAGGTATGAATGACAAAGAAACATGCTCTGAGACGTTATTAGATAGGCAAAGATTTGAACCCATCTATGTAATATCTCCATTCCTAGTCTCTACTGTTGATGCAGTTTCTCTTTACGTAGAGCCCATCCTTCCAAATTTCAGTTGATGTGTTTTCAGTTGAACATTAGAAAGCCCACATGTAAGCAGATGCAACATAATAATGTGAAGGAATCATGAAGTGAAATGTGTATATGTAGCTAATACACGGATGTGCAATGAGCCCACGTTTCCAGCTTCAAGAGCTTTCTTGTGAAGGCTTACCATTTAGCTTCTGAACTAGAAAGAACTCGGTTAGAAAACAGAAAGAGGGACAAAGATCTTCACATTTTCAGCCAAGTAATTTTCCCTTGAGTGATCACAGGGCCACACACAGCAAGGGCAGAAGAAACATTCAGTCTGTGGGCCACGTGGATAAAGCCATGTCAGGCATGGAAGAATTCCCAGGTGTTCCGTCCATAAGTGTCAAAGAAATGTTCTATTATTTGTTTTATTCCCAAGCTGTCTATTTTTCATATCTCTTGAATGACTCATTTGCACACCTATTGTAATGACAGGATTTTGGAATGGCGGAGGAATTTGCTACTAAGGCCCTGGAGCTGAAACCGAAATCTTATGAAGCTTACTATGCAAGAGCAAGGGCAAAACGCAGCAGCAGGTGAGGAGAGAGAGAGAGAGGGTGAAAAGCAAGAGATCTCTTCTCTAAGACGATGGCCAAGGCTAAGTAGGCCACCCTGGGACAGATGCTCCCCAGTTATCTCTGTTGCTGAGGACTCTTCGAGCCACACCTTGGGGATGGCCCATAGAACGTAGTGCTCAGCTTGAAATGGGTAAATCCTCTGGATTGTGCACACCTGTAGCATTTTCCATTGGGAGAAAAATGTATTTTCATTGTTGGAGAATGACATCTCCTTCCAAGAAGCCTCGGCTATACCCCAATCACCCCAAAGCAGATACCGTAAGGGACACCATTTAAGCAAAACATCTTGCCACTCCTTTTAGAGGAAACAATGGAATGGGTCACCACATCACAAGCTCCTTTTCCGTAGTCATCTGGGGAGTCCCTGGTTGTTTCGTTTTTATTTTCTGAGGCTTTTCTCAAGTCTGGTAGCATCAAACCTTCTTCACCCTGCCTCACCAGCATGGTAAGCATGTTCACGTGTACACACACACACCCCCTCACTCATACACTCATACATACACACACAAAGAAGGTCCTTGCTGCCAGGATTGAGAGAGCCCCAGAGAAACACCATTCTTCACATCCATCTGCTGAAGTTTGGACACTGGAAAGGAAAGGCTCTAAAAAGACCTAGAATCTATAGTCAGTGATCCTGGGACCCAGAATCACCACTTGTAATTAATTGTGGATAATTTGCCACTTGTCCTTAATCCCTCTTGCCCAGTGCCCCAGCCTTCTCCTGCATGGAAAAGAATTGTATCAGGCTAACAGCTAAAACCAGGGAGGATCTGGTCCTGAAACTCAAACCCAAGTGGAATCTAATGGTGATGGTGGCAGTGATGTAAGGCTCAGCTAGGTGGGGTAACACATTTATTGTAGAAGCTTGATTATCAGATGTTCTTCCCTTCTGAATTGTTCCTGTTCCATAAGGCTAGTTGCCCCTTTTCTTAGTAATATGTATATAGAAGATAGAAATGTCAATGATAGTTTAGTTCTTCATTTGTAAAGTAGAATCTCTTTGGGTCTGCTCATCTCCAGATCTGAGTTACTTTGTTAGTAAGCCTAACGTCTGTTCAGCTTTGATGCAGCAGAATGGAGAAGCAGAAGTGCTGTGGGGGTTGAGGGCAGAATAGAGCACAGACAGGGTTTTTGCCTAGGATGGAACAGGTCTGAAATTTGGAGCCAAAATATTGAGACTATAAAGAAAAATTTCTGCTGGATCAGCTCATGTTTAAATATTGTAGTAACTGTTTTATTCCTAAGCTATTTGACAGTGACCCTGTAAATGACAACCCCACCTGACCCCTGTATTATCTGGTATATGTTTGGGCACTAAGGGAATCTTCCTGAAGGGCCTGGCTGGACTGTACAATGGGGATATTTCTCCATTGATCCCAGAGAGGCCAGAAGGAAGATGGAGGCTGGATGGGCTGAGAATCATTCTGGACTCTGACGGCCTCCCTATCTCCTTCCTTACAAATCAAACTATATCAACCCCCCTGTTAACCACAGATGCCTCCACAGTTCTGAAATCATGACCATGCTGGTTTATTCCAAATAACCCCAGTTGCTATGTTTGCATTTTGTCAAGCAGACAGTTTGCAGCAGCCTTAGAGGACCTGAACGAGGCCATCAAGCTGTGTCCAAACAACCGTGAGATCCAGAGACTTCTGTTGAGAGTGGAGGAAGAGTGTAGACAGATGCAGCAGCAGCAGCAGCAGCCACCGCCGCCACCGCCACCTCAGCAACAGCCTCAGCAGCAGTTACCAGAAGAAACAGAACCTGAACCGCAGCATGAAGACCTGTATGCTGTACAAGATCTGTTTGAGGAAGAGTACCTGGAACAGGATGTTGAAAATGTTTCCATTGGCCTCCAGACCGAGGCTCGGCCCAGTCAGGGGCTCCCAATAATCCAGAGCCCCCCCTCCTCTCCAGCCCATCGGGAGTCCACCTACATCTCAAGCTCACCTCTTGGCTCACATCAGGTTTTTGACTTCCGGTCTAATAGTTCTGTAGGTTCTCCCACTAGACAGAGCTATCAGTCCACCTCACCTGCTCTTTCTCCAACTCACCAGAACTCTCATTACAGGCCTAGTCCACCACATACATCCCCAGCTCATCAGAGTGGATCCTATCGTTTTAGCCCCCCTCCTGTAGGAGGGCAGGGCAAAGAGTACCCAAGCCCTCCTCCTTCTCCTCTCCGGAGAGGCCCTCAGTATCGAGCCAGTCCTCCAGCTGAAAGTATGAGTGTCTATAGGTCCCAGTCTGGTTCACCCGTGCGCTATCAGCAAGAAACAAACGTTAGTCAGCTTCCTGGCAGACCAAAATCTCCACTATCTAAAATGGCCCAGCGACCCTACCAGATGCCTCAGCTTCCTGTTGCAGTTCCCCAGCAAGGGCTCAGGCTACAGCCTGCCAAGGCCCAGATTGTACGAAGCAACCAGCCCAGCTCGGCAGTTCATTCAAGCACTGTCATCCCCACGGGAGCCTATGGCCAAGTTGCCCATTCAATGGCTGGTAAATACCAGTCTTCACAAGGAGACATGGGAGTAAGTCAGAGCCGATTAGTCTATCAGGGGTCAATTGGGGGAATTGTGGGTGATGGGAGACCTGTGCAGCATGTCCAGGCCAGTCTGAGTGCAGGTGCTATCTGTCAGCATGGAGGGTTGACCAAAGAAGATCTTCCCCAGCGACCTTCCTCAGCATATCGAGGTGGCATGAGATACAGCCAGACACCACAGATTGGCCGTAGCCAGTCAGCATCCTATTACCCAGTCTGTCACTCAAAACTAGATCTGGAACGTTCCTCTAGCCAACTAGGTTCACCTGATGTGTCACATTTAATCAGAAGACCTATTAGTGTCAACCCTAATGAAATCAAGCCCCACCCGCCAACTCCCAGGCCACTGCTTCACTCCCAAAGTGTAGGCCTCCGCTTCTCTCCATCTAGCAATAGTATCTCATCCACCTCCAACCTAACGCCTACCTTCCGGCCTTCTTCTTCTATCCAGCAAATGGAGATCCCACTAAAACCGGCTTATGATAGGTCATGTGACGAGCTGTCACCGGTATCTCCCACTCAGGGAGGTTACCCGAGTGAGCCCACGCGATCCAGGACCACACCATTTATGGGGATCATAGATAAGACAGCCCGGACTCAACAGTACCCCCACCTTCACCAGCAGAATCGGACCTGGGCAGTGTCGTCAGTGGATACCGTTATCAGTCCCACATCTCCAGGCAACCTGCCTCAGCCTGAGTCCTTCAGTCCACCGTCATCCATCAGCAACATTGCCTTTTATAACAAAACCAACAATGCACAGAATGGCCATTTGCTGGAGGACGATTATTACAGTCCCCATGGGATGCTGGCTAACGGGTCCCGGGGAGACCTCTTGGAGAGAGTCAGCCAGGCCTCCTCGTACCCTGACGTGAAGGTAGCTCGGACCCTCCCTGTGGCTCAGGCATACCAGGACAACCTATACAGGCAGTTGTCCCGGGACTCTCGACAAGGGCAGACATCTCCTATCAAACCAAAGAGACCATTTGTGGAGTCTAATGTCTAAAAGACATTTGTTGGGGTGAGATCCATATGTTTTCACTGCACATTTTCAGGCTTGGTTTCCACATTCAAAGTAGTTCTCTGGCTTAATTTCTCATGTAGTTTCTGTGTGGTGTTCAGAGGTGGCAGCCCACATGCTGAAATCCTTTGCATGCAGCCGACTGGGAAGCTGGCCTCCAGGGAGCCAGGACTTCAGTTTCTCCTGTCTGTGCCCCAGCCACATGCTCTCTTCAGATGCCAACGAAGAGATTTCCGTTCAGTGTGCTTTAACCCAGGGAGATCAGACACACTGGTCAGCTTTTTCCAGGAGACAATCGCTTTCACTGATGTTCTTGTTGTGTAAATGTCTTTCTCCTTTTTAGGAAAAAAAAGGAAGATGTTGTTTGTTTTCTTCTAGGAACTTTGGAGTGTGATGCCCCTTTGCCTTTGCATTCTTATCCAATGTTATCCAAATAGCCCGCCCTCATGCATTCTTAGACCAGTGGTTTTCGCCCAACCGCCAGCTCCCCCAGCCATCAGGTCCAGAAGAGTCTTGCTAGTCTTCATGAAGGGATTAAAGGATAGAGGAGAGCGGAGATGAGTCTGTTAAATCAGATGGGGAAAAAATCCTAATTGTTTAAAATGTCACTCCATTGATTATCCAAAAGTCATTTATTTCAGAGCCATTTAGCAGACAGCCAGCTCTTTCAGTATTTAACTCAGCCAAGGAAATTGGATGACAATAGTATATTTTTAAAAAATTCACTGAGAATTACTCTTTAGGTTTTCAGTCAATAATCGACCACTGCAAATCACTGATTTTCACAGGATGGAAGGTCCAAAAACATCAAACCCACTGCTCTCTACTCATTGTGACCTTACAGAGTAGAGTAGAACTGCCCCCTTGGGTTTTTCAAGGCTCTAAATCTTTACAGAAAAAAAACTACTTCCTCTTTCTCCCATGGAGTGACAAATAAGTCTGAACTATCAACCTTTCAGTTAGCTCAAATGCTTAACCTACTGTACCACTAGGGTAAATAAATATATAGGAAGAAAAAGAAAATTTGGTCCAGATTCTCAGTGAACAGCTGTAGGAAACTGTTATCTGAGAAGAATCTGCTTTTTAGATCCTGAAGCATCATTGAGCATTATATTCCACCAAATAAAGGAAATTCTTCCCAAAGGTTGGCTGGTAGAATAAGTTTATTAGTTGGATCTTCACCTAGAGCCAGACTTTGTTCTTCTAGTCCTCTTTTTTTTTTTTAAAAAAAAAAAAAACAACCCAATAACACAAAACAACAACCAAACCCTTAATGATATAATGAAGAACTTGATTCTTTGGGAAGCAAATTGGATTCTCTTGGAACTATATGACTGACTCCATAGTTTCCACCCATTGAATTCCATTCCAAATGTTGTCTAAATCCATTAGCAATCCATAGTTTCACTGTTACTACAAGAATTCCTTCTCCTCATCCCTTGGAGCATTTGTGTTAGGTGGGGTTGAGAGAGAGTGAGAGAGAGAGTGTGTGTCTGTGTGTGTGAGAGTGAATTGAAAACCAGACCCAGCAAAAAGTGTTTCAGGCTGAAGAAAGACAACCTTTAGTCCCATTTTTGAGCCCTGAGTAGGAGCACATGAGATAGATGAGCTTTCTGGTCCAGTCGTTCTGCGTACTCTCTCCATCTTGTGATCATTTGCTAACCTGACCTTGGACTAACTGAGGACTCCATCAGAGACTAACAGGGACACTAAAAGCCATGCCTTACAAGGCCTGGTGGTAGGATGTGCACGCCACCCTTAGGACTAAACAACCTAGCCAAACAAACGCAATAGAAGAAAACTACTCTCTGGTTAGGAATCATTCTGTTCTGGGTACTAAAGGGCTACAAGGACAGCTTTCTGAATAAACATCCAGACCCGTTTGCAATAGTAAGTGCCCCCTGAAAGAGTGCTAAGACATACACAACATGAAGCTGAAATCAGGAGCATTTCTACTTTAGATTCTGCTAATTACATGGATCCCACTGCACCCAAGCACGGAACAGGACTTGTCTCTGTACTGCCCATAAATAGCTGTGATGAGTCAGAATCCAGACTCTTCTCGCTCACGCTGATGTTTATGGACTCCTAGTCAGCTTGACCCCGTGGGTGGGCATCAGTGTTAGCCTTCTCCCTCCCTCGTCCCGTCTTTCTCTGCCCCTCCCTCTCTCTGAAGGTGAACCATACAGCTGTAGCATCTTCCTCCAGCTCAGACCCAGCGGCCTTTCAGCTCTCCTTTTGACCAGGACTCAGCCCTCTTGATTCATCTTAGACCTGTGCTCACTGAGGGGCCACTATATTCTCAAGAAATGCTCAAGGTCTCTCTCAGAAAAGTATACCTGCTTCCTTGGAACACCACACATGCCACGTGCATTCACCTGTCTAGATAGATGAGCAGGTTCTGCAGTTTTTCAAAGTAAATACTCTGCCACTTCTCCCCGGGCTTCTCTTTACATTTTTCAGAACATACATGAAACTTACGGTCTGTGCCCTATTTGGGCAAAACACTTAAAATGTTAGTGTCAAAATGCAATTCTTTTTTTAGCCATTGTTGGGGGAGTGAATATCACTACTGGGCGCCAGTTGTTTTTGAACATAAAATACCAGCTGGAGCCTTATTTGGCCAGGAAACAAATTTTTCCTGTAAGCAGTCCGTCTGTGCCGTGTTTTGCTACTTCACTGCCATTGGATGATCTCAGTACTACTGTATTTTAAAGATACCCTCTCCCCTAAGAATATTTGGTAATTCAAAACCTGGCTTCAGGTCAGAGGAATTTTTTCAGTTGAAACTGGTAGGTTCCATTCACCCAATTTACATCGCCCTGAGCTGGAGACAGTGGTGACAAACTTCAGCTTCCATGTGTCCCAGTGTGTGTATGTGTGTGCAGTTTCCCCAGAATTCTTGCACTAATGGATTTCCATCACATCATGGTCTATAAATGGGTGCACTTTACTGTTTGAATTTATAACTCTGAAAAATATTGGATATTTATGTGTGAGTAATGTCTTCATTAGAAAATAGCAAAACTACTCTTGTCTTTTAGTGTATTTTTTGAGAACAAGAAGAAAGGGGAAAAGAAAGGAAATCAAGCAGTGGATCACAACATTTATAGCACAAGAAATAACTGTTGTATATAAGCATCAAAAAGATTCAGAATTTTTAAATACAAAAAAAAATATTTGCAGTGGTTTTAAAGTGCTTTTCCAGCAATTTTCTTAGGGACTCCTGAGACATGGTTACTTTATTTACTGGATCAGTAAGGCACACAATTAACAATTAAAATCAATGTTTATTTACAAAGTAAAGGGGAAACCTGTGTAACATGAAAACTTGGCATGGACAAAATGGAGACCATTTTGTATCTGCTGTTGTATCTCACCCGGGTTGCAGGCGTGCACTATTAAAAAGTCCCAAGTTAATAGAGCACAAACCCTTGTCCTTCCTCACCTACATGCCCTCCCTTTTTCAATGTGTTAAACTCGATGGCTCAGGAAAATTCCACTAATTAGAATTATGTACAGTACCCCAGGTCGTCGTCCAGATATCCAAGTTGCTATGTAGTTAAGCCTGGATTATTAAAAACACTTTTCCTAAATTATTGTAAACAGAACAGCTTAGAGAAAGGTCTTCTCAGTCCTTATATTGTATAGTAGTTTATGAACCCCTTCTCTAAATATTGGTATTTTTATATTTCAGATATGTACCCAATAGAAAAAGCAATCAGTATCTAATTTAGTATCCTTAACATGTTTTTCCTTAAAACTTAGTCATATACAGCAGGACATGTGGATGTCACCTGTGCTTCACCAAACTTTCTCACTAGGTGTCGCTGTGGCTCTGCACCAGGCTTCTCTGGTAGCAAAGAATGGCAGCATCTCTGAGGTTTCAACTCCTCAGGCAGCAAGCAGGCTGACCCATAGGCACAAAGGGTTCTGGAAGAAGGCCTAGAAGGGTTTTTCCGTTCTCTGTGCCATACAAGTGGCAAGAAAAGCTCTTTTACCACCACCTGCTTTGGACCTTGAGCTAGACAGAGGCTGGGAGGAAGTCAAATAGTCCCTTGCTCTGGTAGATAAATGGGTATATAGAGGATCTCTTTCTTTTCTGTCAACACGCTTCGGATCTCTTTCTTTTCTGTCAACACGCTTCCTCTCAGCTCTTTTCAGCCTCCAGCTCTAAAATTCTGAAGTGTCACAGTTGGGTGGTTTGATTCACAGATAGTTATTTTTCTACTGCAGAAATACCTTAGACAAAAACTTAATCTTTGCCACCAAGTGGAACAGGTGCCCCTTGTGGGCAGAATGTGCCCACCCACCCCAGTGCCCAGACCCCTGTGGAGGCGTTCAGTGCTCAGCAGCCTCGTCTGCCCTGCCTGTCTGTTGGTGGGCTGCCCATTTCTCAAGAGTCACCTGCACAGGCAGCCCGCTGCCATGCGCACGCCGAGGACCGTGCTGCCCTGCTACATGCCCACAGAGGTGGGCTCGTTCTCTTCATCTAGGAATTCCACACCATCTACCATGACAGACAACACTGAACAAAGGGCTTAGGGGTAAGAGCTACCTACAAAGACGTGTCATGGAAACCTTCACCATGCAATGCCTTGAACTCTGCTCTGGCTGCTCCCAAGAAAAAGGTGGCTGGCTGGGGGCCTGGACACAAGCACAATGGGGCTGGTGGAGCCACTGTGCAGTGCTACTTGAATAATCACTGGGTTTTCATCAACTCCTTTTCTAACAGACCACTCAAGGGCTGAAGTGTTGGTAACCTTCATTTCGGTGTCCAATGCCTCACAGCAGCTGAACCACCCCGAGATGCTTGTGGCCACATGCTGACCACAGTCAGAGCTTTGAAAGTCAGTACCAAATGAATGCATAATTGGACACCAAAAAGCAAGCGTTACTTTCATGTTTCCTCACCCACATCTTAACATTTCTTCCTGCTGACTCTGATACCCACACTAAGCTGAGCTGTCAGGTTTTAGCTGAGT